TTTAACTGCAGTGAATGTATCCAGCCTATTTGTGTTTCCAGATTGCACTCAGTAATAGAAGCAAGTATAAAATGAAAACTCAATATAGAAAAAATACGGATAACTGTCTATATATTATGAAACAGTAAGTATGAATAACGCGGAAATAACCCTAAATAAAAATCTATAGATTCAACTTCCTCTAGCAATAATAATGGACACAAAGCTTTAACATATAATAGTGTGCTTGTCATATAGGAAATAATTGTCGTAGATAATTGGAAGAACTATTATATAGCACTAGCATAAAAATGGCTTTATAAATTCGTTTTCGCTACGAGAAAGAAAACTTTAAATGGAATTTTCTATGCTTCTACAGTAAACTGCTGCTTTTCATGGCAGCAAGCAGGATTTCGTTCTCTCGCATAGATACAAAATTCAAGGCTGGCAACTTAAGCATGGTTACGTGAGGAACGATTGAGTCTAACGCAGACAATGGAAAGTCCTGAAGACATCAAACACGCCATTAGCATGGTCCATTAGAGAGGAATCGACTCATTTGGCCGAAGCGTGTGTGTGTTAACCCCCATGTGTGTACCCCTTAGGATTACAAAGCGACATTTTAAGATATATTTAATCATAAGTGTCCCTTAATATCTCATTGTAATAATATTAACAGTGAAATGGTGTGATTAGTCAGTTTTTAGTATAAAGTGGCTGAAGCCTTTATTGCCCTTGAACAGACTAGAAAATGTTCATTTAGCTTGTCTATTTGCGTCATATTGGTTATTTCGATTTGATATTTTAGCATCAATAACACAGCACATGATTAGGGTATATGAGCACTTGGAGGAAATTCTATAGCCTATTCTATAGAGAGCCTAATATGTTCGATGCCTATTGACTGTCCCGATGCTTGTGCTGGTCATTATATGGTATTTTTAAATCTTCACCTAAGAACTAACCTAAAGAAAATAGTCTTTATTTGTGCATTATCCTACATCGCCGCGAAAAGCAGTGACGCCCGTGAAGAAGGGGCATATGTTATTTTGTGACACCAAAATAACTGTCCCGTCATAGCCATCGTCGTAACTGCCCACTCGTCAGGAGTTTTCTTCCATATCTACGGCTATAGAATGGTGTCGTCGGTCTCCAGCCACAGCATAGCATGCCACGGTGATGAGTCAAACTCATTGAACATTAACCAAAGTACCTGTATAAGTGTACCTTTGTTTCAAGACACGCACTGTTTTTGCTGGCTAGGAGAGTTTGTTAGAACAATTGGGCTCAGTCTATGTGACGGTTTTTCCCCCCCTCTGTGTCTGTCAGGCGTTTAAAACGAACGAAAGTGATTTCAAAGTCTATTGAAACAAAGAAAAAAAATTACCACAGCTATAATCTGCCTGTGCCATGAGTAATGTGTTCATTGATCGTTGTCATTCCATTGTTTTCGCTATTTTCAAGCGAAATGTGCATGGCACTATTATACGCAGATCGGCCGCCAGCGGCAGCTGCAGTGTCCATAGCTAGACAACGGTCCTCGGACTGGTATTCAGAAAGAGCGAAAATCGCACCTTCAGCCAGCAATCAGATTACAGTTGCGTCAGTAGACCATTGCGAAGGCAGGCGACTGCTGCTTGACAAAGCCAACAAATCATTTGCTACCATCATAATCAGAAGCAATTTATCGGCATTAGCTGATTTATTTCAGTAAGTACAACTTCCACTAGTACCATAAGAAGTTTGTTGCGTTCGAAACGTTGACCCGTACCGAATTGCGGTTCTCAAACATATCTTTACGCGTTGATAAGAGAGAATACGTTTTGGGAAGAATAAGGCTTAGTGAAAGGGATCTCTACCAAGTCTGTGTTAGGCGGTTTCTCTTCGTCCACTATCTCACAGTAGCTGCCCCGTTGAAGGTAACCAGTTTAGGCGGGATTGATTGTACCCTCGAGCCAGTTGGCGGCAAGCCATTACTGATAACTAGTATAAGCAAAGGACATTAAAGGCTACCGCTTCACTATCCAATCCCGACCCCATTCTATACGCTCTTACCCTATGGCATCCGAGCAGAAACAATGAAGACGTTTGCATTCAAATGACTAGCGAGGCAAGAAAAAATCAAATAGACAAAGTAAATTGGATAATCAGCGGTTTGTGGAATGTACAGGTCTTGATGTTGACTAACCATACGCCGTTACGCAGTCGCAACTTACTGTGGGAGGGGTTCTTGGTGTTAGTGTTGCGGGGGGGGCGAGGGGGAGGGGGTGGATATCGGAGGGGGGACACGTGGGGAAGAAAACAAATTTTTAGTTTCGAATCGACTGTACCGTTGCGGATCTTTCAAGATGACTGAGGCTCATAGTCACTGCTTCTGCGACAGATATATACATGTACCATTCATAGATACAAATGTGGATTTTACTTACATGAAACCATCTCATATTCTATTAAATCAAACTTTTTTTTGAGCGAATTATAATTCGTCCCTTAGGCATAAGTTTCCTTTTGAAAGGGGTAACAAAGCGCTAAGAACTCTGCATCTATTTACGATACTTCTTTACCTATATCCCTATCAACTGTCAAATAAACTTCTTTGCTATCCTATCTAAATTACTCTATGATCTCCGTATCGTCTTCTGATCTTCAGGAAGTTGCTATCTAAGCGAAGCAAGTGCGACAATTAATACTACACTTGCCCTTCACGTGCGAGGGCACGGACTCTAATAATATAAACTTTTTACAAAGGATTAAGCATTGGTCATAATCTGCAATAGTTTTTTTAACGTTAAAAATAGAATAGTTTGGTGGTCAGCGTGCAAGCATTCGTTGCCAGGTTATGTGAAAGTGTCTAAACCAAGGGACCCAGTTGTATTAGTAAACCTAAAACTGTTGCTTTCAGCGCTTTTTACCAGCATCAGTTATAGCGTCCCAGCAGGCCCAAGTGCATTACTGGTGGATATGTCCAGATGTCGAGGTACAAAAGTCAGGGCTTATATATATATATATATATATATATATATCCGGTGACGCGTTGCTATGACGCATTGTGTGACGAACTGTGTTAAGTAATTGTGGGGTCATAACCCAGTCGTGCTCACTTTTGATCACGCAACTTCACATGACTGCCTCTACCGCAGCCGGCGGAAGACATCGAGCGGTCACTGCAGCGTTGGCTCATTAATGCGTCTGTGAAACAATGACCACCCTAACAAATGGTATTTACTTATAAATCGTATACTTTTAATAGTACCTGACGCCTAGTAGAGTTAGAATGAATGGAGTTCGTTAAGCGATACGCCTTTAGGCTACCGGTTTTGTCAAGATAATAAAATTTATTAGTTGCATTAATTGATATGACGTTTGGATAGCAGATGAATAGATTACGCGGTCGGAGAGGCCAGGTCTCATAAATCAGACAAGTGGACTAAGGTAGGTTATAGTGGATATCACTTTTAACGATCCTATATAACTAGGCTCAGCGATACAACGAGGCTACTGTGTCACGGCCTACGCGCTTCTGCTACTGGAAACCTGAAATACCAATAACATTATCTGCTGACAACAGAAGACGACGCATTATGCAGTGAGAGATTGGCTTATATTAGGTTAGGTAAGTAAGCCTAATCAGCTGCCTTATTGCCGCAGCGCAAACTAGCAAGATGGTTGATTTCTTTCGACTGTTGTAACGCAACAACCAGTATTATTAGGGCTAAACTATCTGAGGACATCGCTAACCCTCGTTACTGCTCGCCCTGCTGCCGCGGCAGTTAACTATAGCGGCCAGGTCGATATCACGGACGACAAATGCTTGCGGTCACCAACGGCAGCGGCTGCCCGCAGCTGCTGGTATATAAAAATACACGACAATGGCTACCAGCGGCAATGGCTGCCCCTTACCTGTCGGAGGCGACCCAGTGAAGGAGCGTGCGAATGGAGGAACAATTTTTTAGCTCCCTTCTAGCCAAACCACCTCCAGACCCCTCTGTGCTGCCACCAGAAACGTCACAGGATAGCCCACTCTCCTCACTTCTCCTCTGCTTTAAATGTTTTACCGTGCTTTTAACCGAGCCGTGTGCTGCTAGTTAGTGCAGGTAATCATAATAGCGCACGTTTGAAGCTTTGACAGTGTGGGTGCTTGCGTAGCATCATTGTTTTCATTAGTAATAATAATAATCGAAAGACAATTGACTCACGAAAACACTGAACAGCTTATGAGACCGCCATTGCGATTAGTCGCTCTATTCAGGTGTCGTTTTTTTCAACACCGTACCTTAAACTCAAATACCGTAGAAAATACCGACATAACATTACTAATTCACAATTTTTTTCGATAACCTATATATATATATATAAATAGACAGTATAAATTTATATATACATCTATATATGTTCGAAAAGGGAGAAAACTATTGATATCTATACTTTTTCCATTTTTCCACTACTATTTCCGCTATTTCCACAAGAGCTAATTCGACAGATGCTAAATTAGAACCGTTTACGTACTACAAGTGTTATCTATGGACCGATGCCGGAAAGCAGATATCGTGTTAATATGGGCAAAAAAGTAATAATATTGGTCAACTGGTTTATATAATATAAAAGCAAGCTTCGAAAATAATATAGCGGTAAACTAGGGATTTGTTGCTTGAGTAAACGTCTGTATATAATAACTTAAGGATACTACCAGTGAAAGTCGAACGTTTTATACGGTAATATAAGATCTAAATTAACTTACACGATGACTGGTCACGATGCTAGTGCTATAATGCTATAATAACATACGTTATGAATTTCTGGATAAGTATTCGTATCTTTAACTTGATTTTGCCTCTTCACAGTTTAGAAATTGTTAGCAGTTGACATTTACTGATCTCTACTCAAAGTTCTTTGAACATACATGTGGTGTGCCTAGAACGTCGGTGGTTCTGAGGAAATAATTATTTTAGCCTGACAACACTCGTCTCGGATCAGTGAGCGAGTGGTATAGTAAATTTGTTAAAGCTGAATATTGTACTTACTGTAACTTGGTTGAAGTTATATATTCAAAAACAGCTTGGATCTGATGATAATGTTGTCAGCACTGAATTCCTTTAGGTGGGTCGCCTGACCAATACTGGAGGCACGTATCGGAGAAGTTCATTGTGCGCTTTCTCTATATGACGGTAGACACACATATGATGATCGAACCTACGGGGCTGCTTGACATATCGAGATGTTTAAATCCATTGTAGGGAATATAAAATCTCGGACTAAAAATCATTGCTGTACCTGTCTACTTAGGACAAAGGCATAACAGTTCCAGCAGTAATGTGTCACATTCGATGGAGCACAAAATAAGCTGTGCCGTTAACGTATTTAGCTAACGGTTACCAATAGCGATCACATTATATTAACACAGAAATAATGTACTCACAAGCGTTGAAAAGCACTAGTGTCCGGGTAGTGCTCCGAAAATCTTCTATCTTTGCGTATCACTCATTTGAAAAATGTCAACTAGCCTTCGTGTTTGAACAAATTGCCGGTTGTCGTATCTTCTTCATATAGCAGTTCACATTGTGGCCTATTGTAGTCAACCATCTACGCCAAACGAAAAATACGCCTTCGTTGCTACACTTTGACTGATTACCCTATCAGACCTAGTTGGTTTCTAATCTCCACTTTATTGGGATAAGCAAACTTTCGTTGCGAACGCTCGTCGCGGAGTTTTTTTTTTGTTCGCGGACTTTGTTTTACGTAACATTTAACAATTGCGGCACAATTAGTGTGAGTTTTCACTGATTCAATCACTTTGTTGTTACAAGTATGCACGTAAAGCTTACGGGGCGTCAGTATTACTCGTTGCGGCAGATGTAGCACCGGTGTAGCGAGACTTCATCTTGTCTCCCTTTTCTTGGTCGACAAGACGGACGAGTATCGACCACGCAGCTGCTGCTGCTGCTGTTGCAACAGCTGCTGTTTATGCACCCTGCTTAACCGCGTGAGGACTACGGATCGACCCTCTCCAGGGGGAAAGTCTTCGTTTTGTCTCTTTGTCTATAGCAAAATAGACGTCGACACAAATACGCAACTTGAAATCTTAGTAGATCCATGGGAAAACTCACTTGATAAGTTCTTTTAATCTCAGGTCGATAAAGGCGACGAACGCAATAAGCTTTATTAGTAAATGGGCAATGGTTTGAGTAATTGGTCTTTTGTATGTGAGCTACTGCTGTCTCCGGTGTTGTAACTAACTAACTAACTAACGTGGTCGACGACAACTGACAGACACTAAATGAACCGATCTTAGCTAGGTACTGATTGCCCTTAAAGGCCTTAAATTTTGTGATACATGTCACTGCACAAGAACTAATCGTTATCGTGAGAATTATCCTAGGCTAACCTAGTTGAAATTTAATTTTCGCAGCGCATCGTATAGGCAGCTATCGTAAAAGAATCTAATTTATCTAACCTTATCGCTCCGGTTGATAACCTTTCTTCGTGGTAACTCTAAGGAATAAGGTCCAAGCAGTAATGCTGGCCCGTTCTTGCAGTAGATATTGTCATACCAAGTACATTTTTTAGTTCTAATATCGACAATGACCTTGTGGGTAATGATGGGTACAGCTGCAGGCTACTAACGAATACTCTCTGAGGTTATGTAAGACCTATTTTTTCGGCCTGGAGTACATGTCCGCAATTCATGTCAGGATGTTGGCTAACTCTTAACTGTGCAAACCTTTTTTGAGGTAACTGGTACAGAATATCCCAGCATTAGATGAAGCAGCTGCAGATTATGATAATCAGCTTCATGTGGTCACTTCGTGGTTTGTGGTTGTAATTGAAATCTCCAATTCTGAAAATGCTGATACATATCACGTAATCTTTTCACTATTCGTTGTCCTAGCTGTACTTTTCCCCTGCGGGGGGGGGGGGGGGGGGCACCGAAAGGGGCCTTCAGATGTGCGCCTCGCACCGAAAACTTCTACGACTGGAACTAAACGCCATATATTTAGAACAGGCGGGAAAAGGAAGAGCCAGCCAAGCTTTAACCAGAAAAGATGAATAAAATGCGCAGATTTGACGCAAAATTTGACAGTTACCAAAATTTCTTGAAGACCATCATAGACATAGAGTGAGAAATCAGTATGCAAAGAATGGCTAATTTCTGCACTAATCTTTCAATTACAAAGGGTTTTTTAGAAACCAAACCTGTATTCTTCTACTTATTTTTCGATTATAGATTATCAAACGACCTACTGCTTTGGGTTATCCAATACAACACAAACCGGTTTTTCGTATCTCAATTTTCGTTTGCAACAACCGGTGTTATTTAATCTCGTAATGAAAATGATTTTGAAGCGCAACTGCATCACCTCGATTACCACTAACCGTAAAAATTAGAACCTTGCCTTAAAATTCTAGCTTTTCTTCCTATAGAAGGTAATGCGTGATGTACTTGAATATGGACTCTAAAACAGTAAAAACCATTTCGAATTTAAATCTTTCGTGATTTTTTGCAAGTTCTAGCACAAAACCATTTACATAGAGTCGGAAAGTGCTACAAACCAGCTCGGGAGGGAGGGAGGGAGGCAAGTTTTAGCTCCTTGTGATTAGTAACTTCTATGTATCGAAGTTGACACCAAATCGATTTTTTCACTAAACACATTATTCCTATCGGCCAAACAGATCCCAAAAATTAGGCTTTTTTTTGGTCAGAAAAATCTATTTAATACGAGGAATTGTGTATTTCCAGAGTGTGTGTAGCCTCGTGGAAAGAATTAACTAAGATATGTAGATGCAGGGGGCAATAATTATATTGCGATAATATGTTATTGGCATAATAATGAATTCGTATTTTCTATTAGTAACTATCTCTCTCTTTGTATGCTCGAGCTTTTTCGTACAATGATCTTTTGAAAAGGCAGATGATGCTCGTCATAGTGACACATTCTCCTTAGGACTGCGTTGATCCGCAATCGCGTTGAATAGTTGCACTTACTTTAGATATATTTATCGCCTGTACGTAAGGAATACTCTCGGTATCAACAATATTGTTAAAAAAGGTCTGCAAACTTTAAGTCGTTCTGCTGAAAAAATAAAAGTGCTTAAAAACAAACAGTGATAAATGTTTACCATATTCGAATCAATAACGCAACAGTTTCAGCATGTGACACTCTACTCTCAGATAGAAGATCGTTAAGAGGTAGCCTAAGCGAACAATAGACACAAATGACTAGTCTTCCAGTCACCGCAAGGACCGCTTCGTTATGGCCTGGTTGATTGGACGAATCCTTCAGCCTGTTGGTAGTCCTACCAGCCTAGATAGACTAACTTTAGAAACCTTTCTAGTTCAAATTTTTACGGAACTGCTAGAAGTGGCAAAGTTTTAGCAGATTGTCAAGTTCAGCGCTTAATCTATGTCTTTCTTATACCTGGAGTTAGGTTTAAAACGATTGCGATAACTATAACAGTAACTTATTAACAGTTCGAACAAGTAAATTTGAAACTGGTCATTAGCTATTATAGATAATATTTTTAGAATTTGGTTGTCTAGCTGATGCGATCTTTGATGATCTGGAAAATCGGTACTTTTGTTATTATCAGCTAATAATACTCATGGCAAGTGTACGTATTTTTTTTTAAATGTGCAATATCTATTCCGCGAACCCGTGGCCAAGTCATAGGTACAGGGAGCCTGTACGAACAGTGCATTCAGATCGCTGCTAATACATTTTTCCTTAAGGTAGAGAATTTTTTCGTCATGAACCTATAGTTATAAATTCAGAGTGAAGTATTGATTTTTAAGGCAGAATCACTGAATAGGAGGTTCATACTTAGCGTGGTACATAGCGAAATGTATTTGATACTAATCAAACGATCTTTAACGTCCGAGCAGATAAACACGTTTAATGGTTCTGAGGGATTGCTTTTTAGTACCGTTCCCATGGACGGTCAACCTATGCAATATTATGTAAAATTGATTGAGCTGTGTTTAGACTGGCTTGCACGTAAGTCCACAACGCTGCATCTCTGAGCAGAAAAATTGTCAAAGCAGGATGTTTAACGGGTGACTACACGACCACTGGCTATGGCTGACCTGCCTTTAGGATGTCCACAAGCGTATCTCCCACTATTTGACAGTTGATTCGAGTGGGAACCTTCTTTTCTCTTTCACAGTGAGGTTCCTACCAAATACAGAAGTTTTGTATCGTGTTATTTCTGTTCGCCCTTGGCAGCAGAAGCCGAAACAACCAGCAGCTGAAATCCCGGACCACAGAAACAGAAAAAAAACCAAAATCAATAGTTAATGCGTGCCACCCTGGGCCAATAGTCTAAATGTAAATCACCAAGCAAAGTCCTTCAGGCGAGGAATATAGCAAAGGCAGCATGTTTCGTTAAGTGGCTAATTGTCCTTTGATCGATGAGGGTTTCGCCACTATTCAATTGGCAGATCTTTCTTTCATCGACCACCTGTTAGTTGTCCAGTCATTTTTTACTAGTAATGTATTTTTCAAATTCACATCGTGGCTCAGTTGTCCAAGTGAAAAATGCCTGCTATCTTATTCTCATGTACAAGGGTGTGCGACCGCAGCCGGCATGTCAGGACACGTATTAAAAGGCCTGTTTGAGCGTGGTGTTGCTGGTGTCCGCCTATGCTTGTTAATATCGCCCATCGGGTGTTACTTGATTCAAGACAATAAGTCTTGTCTACTTGTGTCTACGGTAGTGTAATGACAGGTGGTACTGGTTAGGTTTGGAAAACGGGTAGGTACTTCTCTCAGAGGGTAACTTAAGCAGATACAGAAGTTTAAAATAGATGAAGACGTTATTTCTTTATTGGAGATGCAAACAAGCTGCCTTTTAGGTCTACAGAGATTTTGCCTTAACCAATGTTCCTTTTTTGAATTTGGCGTTAGACGCATTTCAGTTGATTTCGTAGACAGCATTAGTGGCTGATTATCGTAGATAGAGGTTATGTGACATTACTTCAATAATCTATGCAGTTATTTCTATATCGCTGATTTAAACCAATGGGTATTGTAACGCCTCTTTTTATTAAACTTGATTGATTACAAAGCAGGCTTAAAAAAGCTCTGATTTTTTGCGGGTGTTTTTAAAATTTGATTTAGGTGGGCTTGTAGCACTGTAATGACCCGACAAAATCAAGTTCCTTCGCTCACCCCAGGTCGAATGCAAACCGCACTTATCCCCCTGTGGGACATGTGCAACCATGATACTCTTAGAGTAAGTCTATTTTTAAGCTATTATTTGATTGATATTCCCATAGAGCAGTTGATTCGAGACATATCGCTACGATTTTTTAACACTAATACTTACTGAGTTTAGAATGAGCTTTTTTTTTTAGGTTACAAATTATGTTTAGGTTACAGTAACAAAATGATCAGGACAGTGATCAGAGATAACTTGTGAGGCTTTTAGATTTGTGTGTCAATCGTTTGAAGCGTTATTGTTAGCTCAAATGCTCTTAGATACCACGATGAAATATTTAGAAATGTTTTATTATTTATCAAGTGCAGAAATAGAAAAGGTCAATTGTGCTGTCTTATGACACGTGTTTATTATTGCAGAGTGGAACCGACTACGATGTGCCTTCTCAGCAACTTGTTTCGTTCGCCACTCGGGCTTACGTTAAGGACGAAGAGGTTTGCCATCACACGCTCCCTTTGCTTCAATGGCAACGATCTAGCCTTGCACTAAAACGATGATAACGATGCTCAAAGCAGACGAGTTTTCAAAACATCCATCCATCCATCCATTCATTCGTTCGTTCATTCATTAGAGATTCAATGATATTATTTAATCTTGTCTTGCTGTTGTGCCGATGCTTTCGCACAGAAATTTATCAATCACAGACAACCGCTCATTGATGTAGTAACTATCAGATAAGCTTCTGTTGTAACATATTCGTATCGTGAATTTCATAGGTATGCATCTTCTATGGTAATCGCGGTAATGCCCAGTTTTTCCTGCACAACGGATTCGTACCGCAGACATCGAACCCGTGGGACAATCTACCGTTGCGGCTCGGCCTGTCACGAAGCGACAAGCTCTTTGAAATAAAGCGTCGCCTTTGTGAACAGATGAAAATTCCCATGTTAGTAGTATCAGAAAACGAACCTTATTATTGGTTTTTTTTTACATTCGATCTTAAGTCTATACCCAGTTATTTTCCGATATGACATGAGATCGTACCGTTGGCAAAATTCGCGGATTATATAATATCTACAGTTCACTGTTCACCGAAAGTAACCGATATCTAGAAGTTTCAACAGTAACTTTATTAGTACCATGTTGTTTCTCCCTTTTCCTAGATATAAAAAGAAATCAAAACGGAGAAAGAAACGATAGAAATGAAATAAAATGTATCTCAGGCGACAGGGCTTGTCATTTTAATGAAATAATGAAGACCGAGAAAACTTATGGTTTATTACTGAGGTATATATTGACGGGTTATTTTCTTGAAATGCATTTTTATTCTTTGTACTGTTAATATAGATTTAAATAGTGGCATTTATTCATGAAGGATAATATAGAACAGCTTCTAGTAAAAGATACCAAGCTTTGGCTGCTACCTTATTCTGAATGGGTGTAGGTTTTCAGCCAAAGTTCCGACGGCAACTTTCTAACATTACATAGGTGCTTGACCTGAATAAGACGAACAGCTGTTAGAAAATATCAGACCCAGAATTATAAATATACACTTATCATAACTCGTTCTATTCTCCATGTCATTTCTCTGTTTATCTTCGCAACGTCGTCAGCTCTAGTACGTTCGAATTAAAGAAGAATCCTGATGGCAATGGTGTGCTAGTGCCCAAATTGCTGCTACACCTCGTCCACGTGCTTCAGTGGAAACCGGAACATTCGAACAAAAGTGAAACGAAGGCCAAGGCCAGCGATAATCGAGATAACATGGATAACAATATCCTTCAGGAAAACGCAGGAACAGAACAGGTCGAAGAGGAGGAAGGAGTACGCACTAAAAAAGCCATCAGTTTTTTGCAAACGCGCTGTTCGCTCCTCATGAAAACCCTGCCAAAATCTGAGGAGGTACTTATTTTAGACTATTATAAAGTATATAGATCTATTATAAGGGTCGCTGTTAGAGGGGACTTATGTTATTTGCTTATAGTTTCACTAAATACGCTAAATAAATTCATCCTCTATAAAGTCACGTATGACCTCTGACGAGGTCTTTCCCACTAAGTACGGTATCTATAAAATCGAAATTGTCTTCTTACCTTAAAACTATGTTTGTTCACGTTGTCTCCGATGATCAGGGCAAGCTTTTAGCTGCTATCCAGTAGATTAGCCTGTGTTTTTAGGGGCACAATTTTCGAAGCGCTCCCTTCAGAATCCATCGATGATCTTTCCACATCATTATTGATTTTACTGCGTCAGCAAAAATTGTACCTTTACATGCAGACAGGTAGAATCTGAGCACTGGAATTATTGCGTTCAATTGGTCTATTTACTTGGATGAAGCAATACGATCCACGTAATCGGATAAACAGGACGCTAGATGTGATGAATCGGATAGATGAACTCATACATTTTTTGCGCTTGCACAGCGCGTTCTGAAGCGTACCTAGAAGTACGCATTGTCACAGCTACGTATGCGGCTTTCGTTCGGGCTTGGTCGAGGGGTTCACTAGAGATTTGTTTTCCGCTGTTTTGCAGGAGATTAAGACGATTTTGGAGGATTCAACAGTTAGTGAAAAAACCAAGCTTGCGTTACGGTATCGCCTGTCAGAAAAGCATATACTCGAATTAGCATGTCAGAAGCTTATCTTCACAATGTAGACAATACCAAAGCACAATTGCGCACTCATCTACAATGCTTAATTAAACTAACACATACATTTGTAGTATACAGAACCTATACATAAAAATAACATGGTTCAATGTCTTCAGTTCTCTTTATATATAGGCGTATAGATAAAATCTAGTCTATGATAAATATAGCTGCTGAAGCTCTGAAAATGTTTCTGGCTAACACACGAATCGCTCTGCAGTCCCTACTGTAATACAGGTTATATTGGTGTCAACAATAACTCAGTATAATATACATCCCTATTTTATGTACCACTGAATCCAGAATCTTGTTTATTAGACAGGAGCGGCCCTTAAGGCGGTCGTTAATTGTCCAACAATAGCTTCGGAAAGGAATACAACATATTTGTGGCCGAATGATAACAGCAACTTCAACTTTAACGGCAAATTTTAATGGTCTAAACAGATGTATCAAGGGAAAAATGCGTTTCCATGTCTGCCCGTACTATCAGCTGATACCATTATATAGGAAAATCTATTATCTCTCAGATATGTTCGCAGATTAGTCGTTATCGTTGAAAGTTTTCGCAGAGAATAACCGTTTCTTTATTGAATGGAAACGAAACCCACAATTTAGCGTCAATTGTCGCTAGAGGATTATTGTTGGCCGTGTCTATAATGCGCATTTTGATATAAACAGCTCATCTATTATTTATGATTAAAGAACATCTGGGGCCAGCAAGCGTTCGCCTACCGTCGTTTGAAGTACGAGAATACCAAAACTCTGGACGGGGGCAAATGGATGCACTAGTCGTACAAACAACTATCTTAGAACGTTTCACTAAAATTATTATGGTGCATGCAAACCTGAGATAGATAACTGAAAAGAAAACTGATTCGTCCTGCAAATGTATAACTCTTCGGTGCTCCTAGTAAAAGGTCTTAATCTTACCATGTAAGATGGTTCCAAGTGTTTGTACGGTACCGTGGGACTTGAGTTTTAGTGCAGAAGTCCTTTAAATGCAAAAATTGAAATTTATGAGGTGGGTAACCTAAATAACGCTAAACTACAACCAGGTCATTCAGAACGAAACAATTTTGCACTGACTATGTAAATCCTCTATTTCTGCATTCTTCTTCGTCGTTTCTGTAAGCGTGTAGGGAGAGTTACTATGCCTGGAGCAGCTTAATAAAAAAGTCCTATCCTTTCAATGTGCCTTAAGGTGCTTTTGTCTTTCGGAAAGAACGGCCTTGATTTTCAATTACGGATCATGTATGCATTTGAATTGTAAGATTGACGTAAAGGTATAATGGAATATCGAGGTAGTGAAGTATCAATATTGAGGAATGAAACTTTTATTCGTATGAGTTACAGATAGTATTTACAATATCTCTTCGAGGAATTAAATCGAATGCTCACATGATCTTTTACATTACTGAACATATCTCTATGAATAATAAAAATAGTTTGATTTTGAGGCCAGAATAGTTTATAATAATAATAACATTATTTAGCTATTTTAGATCGGTGGAAATGACCGCTACTTCATCAGCCTTTGCGCATTTTCAGCTTGAATATTTTCGAGTACTATATTTTAACCTGGGTACTTTCAATCCGTGTTGCAGTTCGCTTTCATTTAAAGTCTTTACGAGTTGGGTTCTTCTGGCTTGTAAACGGTGACTTTTTTTTTGTTTTTTCTTTTATATTAAGTATGCACTTTAAAAACAACACATATGGTAGGGAGATAACACGTTTTAAGGCTCTATTGCTTGCTACAACAACAAAATATATACATATCTGTGATGTTTTTCGTAGAATGTTTAGAGGACTAGAAGGCAATTATCACTAGATTATTGTTAGTATGGATTTAGGAAAATTATTTTTCCGTCGTTATGGGAGCGCTTTATCGAAATGTTATCCATTGCATTGAATCGTGCGAGTTGCGATGGAAAATCACACCAACAAATCCATAAAAGCATCCCCATTACTTTTATGTTTGTATGTAAAATACTAGTATAAACCGTAAAAGATATAGCCCCGTCCTTAACTAGTAATAGAAAACAGCAACGTCTCACAAAAGGAACCTTTCTGGTAGAACAACTCCTTCTAGACTACACGTTTTTTCCTCTATGAGCTTTTTCAATATAAACCGTTCTTTTTTTTTTTCTATTTTTAATAAATTCTACTTTGTTAGCGTGGTACTCGTACTAGTATACTTTGCATATTTATTTTAGTATTGTTAGCACACTAAAATTGCTAGAAATTAACGAAAAAAATATAGTATTTCCCCCTATTCGCATCACCTGCGTTATTTTAGCATTCTCAACTTATATTTCGGTCAACTTATAATTACGATGAATTGATTACACGGCAAAGGCAATAGATCAAGGTGCAAAGGATCTAAAATGAATCAACCACCATAATTTAATTCTCAAGCGTATAGCAGAAGAGTTGGAGGGTAGTGGGAGGGGCAACTGTAGAACATGAGACTAAAAAGAGGCACACCTAATGGTTGTTATGAAATTATTCGAAAGGTACAATGGTGACAGTCCATTGACTGTCAAGACCCAATTGGCAAACGATTAGTCTAAAATTAGGCATAGCATTTCCATTAAATGAAAATGCCTATTAAGTCAATGCTTAATGAGTCGGACACAGTGATAACCAGACGGATCAACTTCACAACTGCACGTAACTAAAAATCAAAATGTTTCCTTTTTTTTGGGTTTTTTTTTTTAGATATATATGTATTGTTTTTATTTAGTATAGTAGTACTCAAGGCTATAATAAGCGCAGTAAAACAGTAAACAGCTGTAGCTTCAAAAGGTGCGACAGGTAGCTTACGACAAAATAACTAATGAAAAGATTGGTTATGAGGTAAGAAAAAAAAAAAAAAAGCACCTAACTGAAAAAAGAAAAGAAACATAATTTGTAATTTTTAGAAACGAGCTTGCAGTATACGTCATATATTTAATTAAATGCTAATATTATTAACTAAATCTGGGCGTTATCTAGGAACATATCTAAAAGCTATGTCGGAGGTAATTTCTGATTATCATTTTTTAAATCCACGTGGTATCTGGAAGTAATGACTGCTTTGTCGGTATATTGCAATGTTATTTATTATTTTATTGCAATGTGCCCAGATTTCTCAGTAACGGCAAATGTCGTTTTTATAATGATTTAGATCTGTTTTTAAATACAATCTGGCGCGAAACACTACCGGTGTAAAATGTTTCGTGCCTATAGTTTTCTTGCGCTTTTAGGATGATTCATGTCGCACATGTTTTTTTATTCATGTCAGCACAGCTAGCTAGTAAACAAACTCTATAGAGTATCTGAATTGTAATTAAAGAGATACGCAGTACATTGAGATTGATAGGGATATCGAAGCAATAGAATTGATGTTTCCCACCGATATTTATTCTAGGTTTTCGTTAGATGAGATGCAACAGTTTTTGTTTCTGGGGGATCAAAGGTCATTTATTTAGAAGTCTCTTATGACTAACACTATCCAAGATCCTCTTAATGCGGCCTACTGACGAAAGCTTCTACTGGCAACATAGAATGCTGTTTTATTTACACGACGATTTCGCTGCTCTTCAAGGCGTGCTTCCCTTATACTATCGCAAAGCTGAGGCTAGCTATCAAGCCATACCCTAGTAAAAAAAAAATATATATATACATATATATGACCTCAGCTCTGCGATAATTGTCATTTTCTTTATTCAAATGCACCAATTATTGGACATCTTTAACCCCTACTGAACTACTAGACAAGGATTACATGTTTTCTTGGCTAGAGCTTATAGTTGCCCCATTATAGCTAAATGTACACCTTTAATCTAAAAGGAACAAAATCTGCTCTAATGAACTGATAATTATGTGCAAGTATGAACATCTCTAACTGGGTAGGTATTGTAGTTTGCAGGCTGGTTCATTTTACCTAATTAGGCTACACTGGCCGGAATGGTACCTAGAAGAACTAACTTTTTTAATTTTACAAGTACAATCATCTCTCATTAGGTTTGTGAAATCATTTCATTGTACAAATGAGGTGATGACACCCGCGAGCTATAAACCTTATTACAATATGGGAATTACCTTTGCCCGCTTATTTATACCTGCTGTCGGTTTAACTGGAGATGAGAAGACAGAACGGTCTGCTTTAGCCCATTTTGATATTTACGTCTGTGTAGATGTTTTATACGTTGGAAGGCTGAACGCTTTTCAGGTATCTTCAGTGAACGTCGGAATATCGGTCAGCAGTACACTGCGAAGCTGTAGTCACCTAAATAACGGTATCAATTTCGAAAACGTCGGCTTTTCTTTGTCTGAACTCAGTGGGTTCTGGCAGCTTAACTTTTTCAAAGAATTAGGATTAAGCACGCAGTAGTCAGTGCAATCTTCAAACGAAGTAACTAATACTTCAACTAATAGTTTCATTCAATTCTGACAACCACGGTCTTTACTTTTATAATTTATTCTTGTACGTAATCAGCGAAAGACCTCCTGTTATCGTTAGCGTGTAGCCTATGGATGTAAACAAGTTGACAATATTCAAAGTTGTTTTGTGCGAACAAAACGAATCGATGTTTCTATTTTTCATTTTATCGCCTGTGTCTTAATCTTACTACTTTGAAGACAAAGTTGTTTGGGATTACTGGTGCCTAATGCTGGCTGAGCTAATGTGTGTTATACACTGCAAAGTTCTTCCATTACATATTCGTCTTCATAAAAGGGTGCCATTGAGTAACGCATAAATAAAGGTCGCCAATAAGAGTCGTGAATAACCCCTTTGTTTGGACCCCTTTGTTTATTTTATGTCGTTTCCGTCCACGACACCGTCACCAATACTAACAAAATTTCTCTAGAAAAATGTCGTTTAGTAAACCTAAAAATGGCTCGAGTTTTTTTTAGGAAGCTAGCTTTAAGCATGAAACAAGGTATGTATACGACAAGTTTCGTACTTAAGCCAGCACTTCAACTTCTAGTAGGCAAGCAAGTTACCTCTTGCAGCAGCACCAAGAAGACGGTAGACCTGGTACCTTTAGTTGAGTTGGCACTTTTGAAGGTACTCGCATTCATGCTAACTAGCTTTAAATACGGTGGTCCTCGAACCCGAGTCGAACGCTGCTTCGGAGCGAAATTTCGTAAAAATATTGGTCGAAACGAGTTAATGTTGTCCCTATTTCTTCCACAAAGACCTTACGTGCAATCATCGTTGATCCATCAGCACCCTCTTCTCCATGATTTGGGTCTCACGAAGCCTCTTTTCCGTTAGAAATCACGATCGTAGCACAATCTTTCCGAACTGTTGGGATTCTTGCTTCAGTCATGCAAGCATTAAACAAAGTAGTATAGCAGGTTTCTAGCGGAGTCGTTTCTTCTATTTGTTCATTGAATATTTCGTCCGGGTTACAAGTTCTATGATCAGGAAGGTTCAGGTTACCGTTCACGATCCCAAACAGTTTTTTTGCGCTATTGCCATACGTTCGGGGTTTTTTTGATAATCAGTATTGGAGGTAGCATGGCAGATAGATCGCCTCGCTTGAACCTACATTGCTTTGGAAATGGGTTTCTAGAACCTTGACGGGGACCGGACAACTTGGTGTGGTAGGTCTGTAGTGTTATATAGAGCGCGCTCGCAAAATGTCTTCCGAGGATTTGATTAGCTCTTTGCTTCGAAATTTACTCGTTTGAGGCATATTTTTTAGAATTACTTAATCCCGGTGATCCATATCCGAAAGCTAATTCGAATTTTCGTGCTTTGAACTGAGCACATGATCCATTAGGTGAGGATCGTTTGATGGCTCTGCATCTAGTTAATATCGACATAGTGTATTTGCGGCTTTTAGTACATATTAGACAGACCTACGGGCTTTGCCCCGCGTTTGAGTTCCGTTGACTGATCTAACTAATTTAATTAATTACATCCAGTTTAAAAAAAACTTTCGTACGCATAAACAGTTACTTCGTTGCAATTACTTTGGTCACCTAACTTGTTATTGTTTGACAGCTGGCTCCTCTGCTTGTTCTAATTCGGACTAATTATATTCGGGTCCTACGTAGCTTAATTTTCCATCTGATATTTATCAGAAATTCGTTCAAGCAGCTCAAAATCATGTTCAGAATTCATTCTTATGGTTCGTCAATCAAACCTTGCGGCCTTTTTCAAGCCGAAATATCATTTTTAGATATAACATTTGTAGCCGACTTGT